TAGCAGGTGAGTCCTGTAATGTAGCAGGTGAGTCCTGTAATGTAGCGGGTGAGTCCTGTAATGTAGCGGGTGAGTCCTGTAATGTAGCAGGTGAGTCTGTAATGTAGCGGGTGAGTCCTGTAATGTAGCAGGTGAGTCCTGTAATGTAGCGGGTGAGTCCTGTAATGTAGCAGGTGAGTCCTGTAATGTAGCGGGTGAGTCCTGTAATGTAGCGGGTGAGTCCTGTAATGTAGCGGGTGAGTCCTGTAATGTAGCGGGTGAGTCCTGTAATGTAGGGTCGGGTGAGTCCTGTAATGTAGCGGGTGAGTCCTGTAATGTAGCGGGTGAGTCCTGTAATGTAGCGGGTGAGTCCTGTAATGTAGCGGGTGAGTCCTGTAATGTAGCGGGTGAGTCCTGTAATGTAGCGGGTGAGTCCTGTAATGTAGCGGGTGAGTCCTGTAATGTAGCGGGTGAGTCCTGTAATGTAGCGGGTGAGTCCTGTAATGTAGCGGGTGTGTCCTGTCCTGTCCTGTAATGTAGCGGGTGAGTCCTGTAATGTAGCGGGTAGTCCTGTAATGTAGCGGGGTGAGTCCTGTAATGTAGCAGGTGAGTCCTGTAATGTAGCAGGTGAGTCCTGTAATGTAGCGGGTGAGTCCTGTAATGTAGCAGGTGAGTCCTGTAATGTAGCAGGTGAGTCCTGTAATGTAGCGGGTGAGTCCTGTAATGTAGCGGGTGAGTCCTGTAATGTAGCGGGTGAGTCCTGTAATGTAGCTGAGTCCTGTAATGTAGCAGGTGAGTCCTGTATGTAGCGGGTGAGTCTGTTGTAGCGGGTGAGTCCTGTAATGTAGCAGGTGAGTCCTGTAATGTAGCAGGTGAGTCCTGTAATGTAGCGGGTGAGTCCTGTAATGTAGCGGGTGAGTCCTGTAATGTAGCGGGTGAGTCCTGTAATGTAGCAGGTGTAATCCATAATAATGTAATCCATTCAGTATGACCCCTATTTTAAAGGATGGGCATTTGTTATGGAGTTCAGCCTATATTTCCCTATTCCCGCATATATCACGCAAGCCATATATCACTAAGAACTCTTTGAGTCATATTTCTCTATCTTTACATATCTTGAAGAAGTTTAAGTTGATTTTGTGACACTTGAAAGGAAGGTGCTTCAGTTAAAAGAAATATCGACTATAGGTTTAATAGGGGTGAGGCTAGGACATGACTCCAACTTCAAACATGGCAGAGTAGCTCGCGAGGGAGGAGAGCTTTCCCGCTCGGGGCGAAACCTCAGTACATGCTGCGTACAGCGTCAGGTGTGGCGTGAATGGTTGGCATCAGGGGCTTGGCCAGATTGACCAATGGTGTTGAGCCCCGGGCCGGACATAGCATGACGTCAGGCGCCCCTGCAGAGGAAGGCGGGAGATCTGGGTCACTCGCTACCCTGGGTCCTGCTCAGAGGAGGTGCGCTCGAGCGATTAATCGTTCTGCATAGGTATAGGCTTCAAGACAGTCTATCAGCTCCTGTGTGCTAACGAAGAGGGAGGCTTGTCAACTCCCGAAGGCTGGGTTCGGTGGGACTGAGGTGCTCCCCAGAGGTGAACAGTAGCACCTAGGGAGGGGAGTCGGGCCCCACCAGTGAGGAGGTGTAGAGTGGTGGGAGCTGCAGCACTCCAGGGCGGGCACCGTCGAGCGCTCTAGAGGGGCCCCGACTCCTCCTAATTAAGGCAGAATACGCCGGAGTGGAAATTGCCGATTCTGTCGGAATCACCCCAGTATTGTCAGCACCCCAGTATTGTCAGCACCCCAGTATTGTCAGCACCCCAGTATTGTCAGCACCCCAGTATTGTCAGCACCCCAGTATTGTCAGCACCCCGGTACTGTCAGCACCCCAGTATTGTCAGCACCCCGGTACTGTCAGCACCCCAGTATTGTCAGCACCCCGGTACTGTCAGCACCCCAGTATTGTCAGCACCCCAGTATTGTCAGCACCCCAGTATTGTCAGCACCCCAGTATTGTCAGCACCCCGGTACTGTCAGCACCCCAGTATTGTCAGCACCCCGGTACTGTCAGCACCCCAGTATTGTCAGCACCCCAGTATTGTCAGCACCCCAGTATTGTCAGCACCCCAGTATTGTCAGCACCCCAGTATTGTCAGCACCCAGTATTGTCAGCACCCCAGTATTGTCAGCACCCCAGTATTGTCAGCACCCCGGTACTGTCAGCACCCCAGTATTGTCAGCACCCCGGTACTGTCAGCACCCCAGTATTGTCAGCACCCCAGTATGTCAGCACCCCAGTATTGTCAGCACCCCAGTATTGTCAGCACCCCGGTACTGTCAGCACCCCAGTATTGTCAGCACCCCGGTACTGTCAGCACCCCAGTATTGTCAGCACCCCAGTATTGTCAGCACCCCAGTATTGTCAGCACCCCAGTATTGTCAGCACCCCGGTACTGTCAGCACCCCAGTATTGTCAGCACCCCGGTACTGTCAGCACCCCAGTATTGTCAGCACCCCAGTATTGTCAGCACCCCAGTATTGTCAGCACCCCAGTATTGTCAGCACCCCAGTATTGTCAGCACCCCAGTATTGTCAGCACCCCAGTATTGTCAGCACCCCAGTATTGTCAGCACCCCAGTATTGTCAGCACCCCAGTATTGTCAGCACCCCAGTATTGTCAGCACCCCAGTATTGTCAGCACCCCAGTATTGTCAGCACCCCAGTATTGTCAGCACCCCAGTATTGTCAGCACCCCAGTATTGTCAGCACCCCAGTATTGTCAGCACCCCAGTATTGTCAGCACCCCAGTATTGTCAGCACCCCAGTATTGTCAGCACCCCAGTATTGTCAGCACCCAGTATTGTCAGCACCCCAGTATTGTCAGCACCCCAGTATTGTCAGCACCCCAGTATTGTCAGCAGTATTGTCAGCACCCCAGTATTGTCAGCACCCCAGTATTGTCAGCACCCAGTTGTCAGTATTGTCAGCACCCCAGTATTGTCAGCACCCCAGTATTGTCAGCACCCCAGTATTGTCAGCACCCCAGTATATGTCAGCACCCCAGTATTGTCAGCACCCCAGTATTGTCAGCACCCCAGTATTGTCAGCACCCCAGTATTGTCAGCACCCCAGTATTGCCAGCACCCCAGTATTGTCAGCACCCCAGTATTGTCAGCACCCCAGTATTGTCAGCACCCCAGTATTGTCAGCACCCCAGTATTGTCAGCACCCCAGTATTGTCAGCACCCCAGTATTGTCAGCACCCCAGCACCCTAGTATTGTCAGCACCCCAGTATTGTCAGCACCCCAGTATTGTCAGCACCCCAGTATTGTCAGCACCCCAGTATTGTCAGCACCCCAGTATTGCCAGCACCCCAGTATTGTCAGCACCCCAGTATTGTCAGCACCCCAGTAATGTCAGCACCCCAGTATTGTCAGCACCCCAGTATTGTCAGCACCCCAGTATTGTCAGCACCCCAGTAATGTCAGCACCCCAGTATTGTCAGCACCCTAGTAATGTCAGCACCCCACTATTGTCAGCACCCCAGTATTGTCAGCACCCCAGTATTGTCAGCACCCCAGTATTGTCAGCACCCCAGTATTGTCCAGCACCCCAGTATTGTCAGCACCCCAGTATTGTCAGCACCCCAGTAATGTCAGCACCCCAGTATTGTCAGCACCCCAGTATTGTCAGCACCCCAGTATTGTCAGCACCCCCAGTAATGTCAGCACCCCAGTATTGTCAGCACCCTAGTAATGTCAGCACCCCAGTATTGTCAGCACCCCAGTAGTATTGTCAGCACCCCAGTATTGTCAGCACCCCAGTATTGTCAGCACCCCCAGTAATGTCAGCACCCCAGTAATGTCAGCACCCCATTATGTCAGCACCCCAGTATTGTCTGCACCCCAGTACACTACCCCGCCTCCCCCAGGAGCGATATCGACGAGAAGGTGGAGACGGTGGCGGCCGCGGCGCTCCTGTCCGGTGAGGCGCCCCTTCGTGTGAAGAACCTGGCCCTCTCTGACGTCTTCTTCAGCCTGGTGGCCATGGCCCCTGAGAGTGAGTACCTCCCCATGGCCCCTGAGAGTGAGTACCTCCCCATGGCCCCTGAGAGTGTGTACCTCACCATGGCTCCTGAGACTGAGTACCTCCCCATGTCCCTGAGAGTGAGTACCTCCCCATGGCTCCTGAGAGTGAGTACCTCCCCATGGCCACTGAGAGTGAGTACCTTCCCATGGCTCCTGAGAGTGAGTACCTCCCCATGGCCCCTGAGAGTGAGTACCTTCCCATGGCTCCTGAGAGTGAGTACCTCCCCATGGCTCCTGAGAGTGAGTACCTTCCCATGGCTCCTGAGAGAGAGTACCTCCCCATGGCCCCTGAGAGTGTGTACCTCACCATGGCTCCTGAGACTGAGTACCTCCCCATGGCCCTGAGAGTGAGTACCTCCCCATGGCCCCTGAGAGTGAGTACCTCCCCATGGCCCCTGAGAGTGAGTACCTTCCCATGGCTCCTGAGAGTGAGTACCTCACCATGGCCCCTGAGAGTGAGTACCTTCCCATGGCCCCTGAGAGTGAGTACCTTCCCATGGCCCCTGAGAGTGAGTACCTTCCCATGGCTCCTGAGAGAGAGTGCCTCCCCATGGCCCCTGAGAGTAAGTACCTCCCCATTGCCCTGAGAGTGAGTACCTTCCCATGGCCCCTGAGAGTGAGTACCTCACCATGGCTCCTGAGAGTGAGTACCTTCCCATGGCCCCTGAGAGTGAGTACCTTCCCATGGCCCCTGAGAGTGAGTACCTCACCATGGCCCCTGAGAGAGACTACCTTCCCATGGCCCCTGAGAGTGAGTACCTCCCCATGGCCCCTGAGAGTGAGTATCTTCCCATGGCCCCTGAGAGTGAGTACCTCACCATGGCCCCTGAGAGTGAGTACCTCCCTATGGCCCCTGAGAGTAAGTACCTTCCCATGGCTCCTGAGAGTGAGTACCTCCCCATGGCCCCTGAGAGTGAGTACCTTCCCATGGCCCCTGAGAGTGAGTACCTTCCCATGGCTCCTGAGAGTGAGTACCTCCCCATGGCTCCTGAGAGTGAGTACCTCCCCATGGCCCCTGAGAGTGAGTACCTCCCCATGGCCCCTGAGAGTGAGTACCTCCCCATGGCCCCTGAGGGTGAGTACCTCCCAATGGCCCCTGAGAGTGAGTACCTCCCCATGGCCCCTGAGAGTGAGTACCTCCCCATGGCCCCTGAGAGTGAGTACCTCCCCATGGCTCCTGAGAGTGAGTACCTTCCCATGGCTCCTGAGAGTGAGTACCTCCCCATGGCCCCTGAGAGTGAGTACCTCACCATGGCTCCTGAGAGTGAGTACCTCCCCATGGCCCCTGAGAGTGAGTACCTTCCCATGGCTCCTGAGAGTGAGTACCTCCCCATGGCCCCTGAGAGTGAGTACCTTCACATGGCTCCTGAGAGTGAGTACCTCCCCATGGCCCCTGAGAGTGAGTACCTCCCCATGGCCCCTGAGAGTGAGTACCTTCCCATGGCCCCTGAGAGTGAGTACCTTCCCATGGCTCCTGAGAGTGAGTACCTCCCCATGGCCCCTGAGAGTGAGTACCTTCCCATGGCCCCTGAGAGTGAGTACCTCACCATGGCTCCTGAGAGTGAGTACCTCCCCATGGCCCCTGAGAGTGAGTACCTCACCATGGCTCCTGAGAGTGAGTACCTCCCCATGGCCCCTGAGAGTGAGTACCTTCCCATGGCTCCTGAGAGTGAGTACCTCCCCATGGCCCCTGAGAGTGAGTACCTCCCCATGGTCCCTGAGAGTGAGTACCTCACCATGGCTCCAGAGAGTGAGTACCTCCCCATGGCTCCTGAGAGTGAGTACCTCCCCATGGCCCCTGAGAGTGAGTACCTTCCCATGGCTCCTGAGAGTGAGTACCTTCCCATGGCCCCTGAGAGTGAGTACCTCCCATGGTCCCTGAGAGTGAGTACCTCCCCATGGTCCCTGAGAGTGAGTACCTCACCATGGCTCCTGAGAGTGAGTACCTTCCCATGGCTCCTGAGAGTGAGTACCTCCCCATGGCCCCTGAGAGTGAGTACCTTCCCATGGCTCCTGAGAGTGAGTACCTTCCCATGGCCCCAGAGAGTGAGTACCTCATCATGGCCCCTGAGAGTGAGTACCTCACTATGGCTCCTGAGAGTGAGTACCTCACCATGGCCCCTGAGAGTGAGTACCTTCCCATGGCTCCTGAGAGTGAGTACCTCACCATGGCCCCTGAGAGTGAGTACCTTCCCATGGCCCCTGAGAGTGAGTACCTTCCCATGGCCCCTGAGAGTGAGTTCCTTTCCATGGCTCCTGAGAGAGAGTGCCTCCCCATGGCCCCTGAGAGTAAGTACCTCCCCATTGCCCTGAGAGTGAGTACCTTCCCATGGCCCCTGAGAGTGAGTACCTCACCATGGCTCCTGAGAGTGAGTACCTTCCCATGGCCCCTGAGAGTGAGTACCTTCCCATGGCCCCTGAGAGTGAGTACCTCACCATGGCCCCTGAGAGAGACTACCTTCCCATGGCCCCTGAGAGTGAGTACCTCCCCATGGCCCCTGAGAGTGAGTATCTTCCCATGGCCCCTGAGAGTGAGTACCTCACCATGGCCCCTGAGAGTGAGTACCTCCCTATGGCCCCTGAGAGTGCGTACCTTCCCATGGCTCCTGAGAGTGAGTACCTCCCCATGGCCCCTGAGAGTGAGTACCTTCCCATGGCCCCTGAGAGTGAGTACCTTCCCATGGCTCCTGAGAGTGAGTACCTCCCCATGGCTCCTGAGAGTGAGTACCTCCCCATGGCCCCTGAGAGTGAGTACCTCCCCATGGCCCCTGAGAGTGAGTACCTCGCCATGGCCCCTGAGGGTGAGTACCTCCCAATGGCCCCTGAGAGTGAGTACCTCCCCATGGCTCCTGAGAGTGAGTACCTTCCCATGGCTCCTGAGAGTGAGTACCTCCCCATGGCCCCTGAGAGTGAGTACCTCACCATGGCTCCTGAGAGTGAGTACCTCCCCATGGCCCCTGAGAGTGAGTACCTTCCCATGGCTCCTGAGAGTGAGTACCTCCCCATGGCCCCTGAGAGTGAGTACCCTCCCATGGCTCCTGAGAGTGAGTACCTCCCCATGGCCCCTGAGAGTGAGTACCTCCCCATGGCCCCTGAGAGTGAGTACCTTCCCATGGCCCTGAGAGTGAGTTCCTTCCCATGGCTCCTGAGAGTGAGTACCTCCCCATGGCCCCTGAGAGTGAGTACCTTCCCATGGCCCCTGAGAGTGAGTACCTCACCATGGCTCCTGAGAGTGAGTACCTCCCCATGGCCCTGAGAGTGAGTACCTCACCATGGCTCCTGAGAGTGAGTACCTCCCCATGGCCCCTGAGAGTGAGTACCTTCCCATGGCTCCTGAGAGTGAGTACCTCCCCATGGCCCCTGAGAGTGAGTACCTCCCCATGGTCCCTGAGAGTGAGTACCTCACCATGGCTCCTGAGAGTGAGTACCTCCCCATGGCTCCTGAGAGTGAGTACCTCCCATGGCCCCTGAGAGTGAGTACCTTCCCATGGCTCCTGAGAGTGAGTACCTTCCCATGGCCCCTGAGAGTGAGTACCTCCCCATGGTCCCTGAGAGTGAGTACCTCCCCATGGTCCCTGAGAGTGAGTACCTCACCATGGCTCCTGAGAGTGAGTACCTTCCCATGGCTCCAGAGAGTGAGTACCTCCCCATGGCCCCTGAGAGTGAGTACCTTCCCATGGCTCCTGAGAGTGAGTACCTTCCCATGGCCCCTGAGAGTGAGTACCTCATCATGGCCCCTGAGAGTGAGTACCTCACTATGGCTCCTGAGAGTGAGTACCTCACCATGGCCCCTGAGAGTGAGTACCTCCCCATAGCCCCTGAGAGTGAGTACCTCCCCATGGCCCCTGAGAGTGAGTACCTCCCCATGGCCCCTGAGAGTGAGTACCTCCCCATGGCCCCTGAGAGTGAGTACCTCCCCATGGCCCCTGAGAGTGAGTACCTTCCCATGGCCCCTGAGAGTGAGTACCTTCCCATGGCTCCTGAGAGTGAGTACCTCCCCATGGCCCCTGAGAGTGAGTACCTTCCCATGGCTCCTGAGAGTGAGTACCTGCCCATGGCCCCTGAGAGTGAGTACCTTTCCATGGCTCCTGAGAGAGAGTACCTCCCCATGGCCCCTGAGAGTGAGTACCTCCCCATGGCCCCTGAGAGTGAGTACCTTCCCATGGCCCCTGAGAGTGAGTACCTCACCATGGCTCCTGAGAGTGAGTACCTTCCCATGGTCCCTGAGAGTGAGTACCTCACCATGGCTCCTGAGAGTGAGTACCTCACCATGGCCCCTGAGAGTGAGTACCTCACCATGGCCCCTGAGAGTGAGTACCTCCCCATGGCTCCTGAGAGTGAGTACCTCACCATGGTCCCTGAGTGTGAGTACCTTCCAATGGCCCCTGAGAGTGAGTACCTTCTCATGGCTCCTGAGAGAGAGTACCTCCCCATGGCCCCTGAGAGTGAGTACCTCCCCATGGCCCCTGAGAGTGAGTACCTTCCCATGGCTCCTGAGAGAGAGTACCTCCCCATGGCCCCTGAGAGTGAGTACCTCCCCATGGCCCCTGAGAGTGAGTACCTTCCCATGGCCCCTGAGAGTGAGTACCTCACCATGGCTCCTGAGAGTGAGTACCTTCCCATGGCCCCTGTGAGTGAGTACCTCACCATGGCTCCTGAGAGTGAGTACCTCACCATGGCCCCTGAGAGTGAGTACCTCACCATGGCTCCTGAGAGTGAGTACCTCCCCATGGCTCCTGAGAGTGAGTACCTCCCCATGGCCCCTGAGTGAGTACCTCCCCATGGCTCCTGAGAGTGAGTACCTCCCTATGGTCCCTGAGAGTGAGTACCTTCCCATGGCTCCTGAGAGAGAGTACCTCCCCATGGCCCCTGAGAGTGAGTACCTCCCCATGGCCCCTGAGAGTGAGTACCTTCCCATGGCCCCTGAGAGTGAGTACCTCACCATGGCTCCTGAGAGTGAGTACCTTCCCA